TTCCTGTGCAGATTTTGGGAATACAAAGTAAACCAGAAGGAACTCTAATAGTCCACTGGGCATTTGTCACTTATATGAGAATAATGTGTAAAATTAGAAATATCTCCACTATCTCATTACAGGTGACAAAAGTCCTAAGAACTAAAGTAAATTATTACATTTCTAAAGTTCAATTAGTCCTAATACATAAGTCTATTTTTGTAAATAGAATACTCTAATAGAACTGGAGTTACTTTTAAATTTCAATGAAACTAATTGATTATAGTTGAACTATGACAAGGCACAATTTGATAAACTTCTGTTTTCATTATGTACTACCCTTTGAGAATCCATTTGCTCATTCATTTTCAGCCAAAGAACCTAGTAATAATAAACTGACAATAATCCATTTGGATGGAACAACAATAAATAGACCAGACAAATAGAAAGACAAGTCAGATCATGGAAGTGCAGTTAAAAACCCAAACTGAGAAATCTGACAGGGTAGAGAAAATAAAGGAATGCAAGCTATGTCATACACACTGCTGCAAAGGGACCACAACAATGGCAGGATCTTAGGCCAAACCCTAACAGTTTATAAAGAGTCAGGGGAGGGTCTCCAAACACAGAAAGTAGACAAACCAAGGTCATCGAGGCAGAAGAAACACGCTTGATAGTTCATCACAGACAGGACTCTAAGCACAGTTTAATGAGCAAAGTGTAGAATGTAGAGGAGGAACCACTAGACCGGATCAACGGTGTACAGTATCATAGGCCAAAGGAAAAGATGCTATCTTGATTTTAACTGATCAAAACTTTTTCATCCAGTGGAAGAGATGTGATCTGTATTGTTTGTTTTTCCATAAAGATTTTCTGAGTTTATTTAAGCTCCTAGGCTTGGTTTACGTGGGTCAATAGACTATCTTGAGCCATGTCGTTTTTGTCGTACTTGAAAGTTCCTAGTAACCAATGCATAGAAAAATGAATAAAGACAGTCAAATGTAGAACCACGGCCTTTTAAGGTCTCTGCAGGAGGCTTAAAATAGGATGTTAGGGGCAGAGACAAAGGGAATTGTGTTGAGTTTAGTCTGCCTGGTTCAAGGGTATAGCCAGTAGTAATTAAGAACAGAAAGTGGTCTCCTAAGATTTTGTCCTTAACAACCAAGTGAAGGGTTTGAGGGTGGAACATAAGGATTCTGAAGAAGAACTTGGGCTATAGCCAACACACACTTAAGAAGCCATCCCAAGCTAAGTGCAGATTGGTCCTACGACAACGTCAAATGGTCACATCTAACCTCATATCCTTAGCTCTCAGTTTAAGTACTTGGTTCAGCAACACACCCTTCTGACTCCCAGATGTGATGACTCCTGGTTCTCTTTTTGATAGTTGACTTGCTATATACCATGTTTGTTTGAACCAAGTCTTCCTATTCTCACCCTCTCCGTGGAGGAGGGACTGTTGCCCCTTGTCCCATCTCACCTCAGATGTATTCTTTATCAATAGTGGCCATGGAAGAAGCTCAGAAAGGAGACTGAGGGAGAGTCTAGCGACATCGTCCTCTGAATCTTCTGTCTTCTACACAGGAGTCGTGAGTGACATGAAAGTCATAGGATTCACCTACTCTGGAGCCAAACCAAAATGGCAGAGCTCCAAGGCATGGGAAGCATGGGCAGTGGTCTGATACCACATTTGTCAGAAACAGCAGGATGCTATTATAATGTGGGCGTGTTGGTCCCCACTCTAACATCTTTCAATCACAACACACTGACTCACATCGTCCCACAGATGCAATGCTAAGCACAGGATGCTGTAAGTTCACAATGCTCTCAAGTTACAGGGATTCCAACAGAACACATACAGCACTCCGTCTATGCAGTCACACACGTGGATAACCCTCAAACTCACTAGTGACCTCTAAGGGACGGAGACACTGTAAGCCGATTAAGGAGTTCAAGTCTTCTGTTTGTATTCATTTTTCCCTGTGGATTTGAAATTGTTAAATATAAGACTTCATGAAAGCAAGGGAGTTTCTTCCTGTGTTCACTCTCATTTAGCTTCTAAACTACCTCAGAGCCTTGTTTTCTATTCCTTTGCCAGGGCCAAGGGTCTCTATTTCCAAGGTTCTCCCTTTACCTGCCCTTTAAGTTTCATAAAGGTAACTCCTTAGTTTGTTAATCTCAACTTATTAAGGGTGTATATTCACATGATAGAATTTATTACTGATCCATATAAATTAGCATTTTCTCCAAAGCAATATATGAAAGTCTGAGAAATTATTATATTAAGATACACATTTATACTGAACAGTGAATGACTCCAATTTTCCTTCCCCAGACAGAACATAATCTATACCCTGAGGCAAAAATCAAAACAGAAGCCAAGCTTCTATGTGCCCTCAAAATGAACCAAATGTTGGAGGTAAATAAACTTCCAATTAGAATTCTCTGAAGTGGGTGATGGGCTAGGGAAACTGGAGTGTAACAAGCTATCTGTCTTCTGTTGTAAATGAAGGTCAGTTACACAAGGCAAAGATGACCTAGGCTGACAGTCCCGTCATCAGAGGCCAGCATGCTTCATGAAGCTCAAGACAATCTGACCATCTCAGATGCGTGGCATCAGCAGAAAATGGGCCTCATGTAGAAGACGTGAGTTAAACCAAACCACTGGACACTAAAGAGCACAGGCAAAGTCCGACAGCTGATTGGTGGTCACCACTGTCACACATTCCTATCGAGAGTTAGCTTTGGTGTGCTCTCAGTTACACGCTCTAGGGCAGTTCTTTTTGCATCTGGGGTTTTTCTCTGTCTCTCTTTGTCACGCCTGCTGAACCTTTCCTTCCTTGAATACCCTCCCACACACTAGATGAGCATGCCATGGACAGGTCCCTCTGTCCCCTTGACTACAACTGTTTCAGAGTTGGATAGCCTGGGAGAGTATCTCTACAGACCAAGACTCTTGTCAGTTATGACACACTGAACCACTACTAAGAGAACCGAAGGGCAGCCATTGGTGAAGCAGAACACAGAAGCTAAGACGACGAAGTGAAGATGCAAGAAGCACCAGCTAGGTGATGTGACTGTGGGAGGAAAGAGTGAGATCTTGGCTGCCCTGGTTTTTGTTGACATTCTAAGTTGCAGTTCCAGTCTCTCATGAAACCAGTGAACTTTTGTACTTTTGTACTAAAACATAACTTTCCCCGCCAGTTCATGTGAGGCTCTGTTTCTTCCAGAGAATCAATGCACGGCTAAGATACCAACCAAAGTCCATTTGCAATGTTCCCACCTTCTCTCAACTAAAGAGCTTTCTCCACAGCTTTTCAAAGTCATATTGACGGGCTCTAAAAGTGGCAGAGAAGGGAACAGATGATTTTGTGCACACAGCAAAGAAAACACACAAAGAGTCCATTTCCCCTCTTCTTCTCAGGGACGTTTTTCTTCAAGGAATTCTGCAAGAAGTGAAAATTCTCCACAAGAGGTGGTTCTTGAGGACCCATTGAGAAACCTTGGCTCTTACAGACTGCTTTAATGGTGCTGTAATATCTGTATACCCTTACATTCTCCAAAATAACAATGATATTCATCAAGTAGCACCATTCAAAAGGAGCAAACGGCTGTGATGGAAATAGAGTTGTTTGACATTCTAATAGAAACAAGCATTGTTTTTATTATTCTTCTTGCAAATGTATATATATTGCATTTCATTTCACATTAAATGGAATTTTGTAGAATAGCTTGGAGGACCTAAATACAATATAGGATGTTGTTTTCATCTGAAGATAAATTCAGACTTCCAAATAGCTAATTTTCAGACACTTGAAGCATAATCAATATGTAATGTGAATGTTTCTTGTGTCATTCCAACTGAGAAAATTTGATTATGAGTGTTTTCAAATGATATCAAGAAACCATTTTTGTTAGGAAACAATACTATTTGGATTATAGTTCTTAAATGTATTTTTTCAGGGCTCACATATAAAAACTAGGTAGAGGGTTATAATAATAGAATATCTTAGATTTACTCCAAAATATCCCCACAAAAATTGTAATTTTTGTTAAAGGAATAGCTGAAGTAAACTAAGCAAACTCTTGATAATCACTGAGTGTGGGAACTAAGAGCTTTTGGGTAAACTTTCTTTCTCTGTTTTTATGCATATTAGAGTAGTGAGTATAGAATAGTATACATAAATCCTTTGGACCACACATACAGGCTTGGTAGCATACACAGTGGGATAATTATTGGCATCACAATGGCATGAGGACTTTTAATTGGAAGATAGAGATCTAGTTATATGCTGCACGACAATGCTCTTGCACACTATAAAGATTTGTCACTCGTATTAGTTTAATAAAATGCTGATTGGCCTGTAGCAAGGCAGGATATAGGAAATAAGCAGGGTTACCAAATTAAGAGAATTCTGGGAAGAGGAAAGGCAAAGAGATGCAGTCAACACCCAGACACAGAGGAAGCAAGATGAGAATGCCTTACTGATAAAAGGTCACAAACTATGTGGCTAAACATAGACAAGGATTATAGGTTAATTTAAGTTGTAAGAGTTAGTTAATAATAAGCCTGAGCTAAGAGGTCAAACAGTTTTTAATTAATATAAGCCTCTATGTGTTTCTTTGGGACTGAACAGTTGTGTGGCTGGGTGGGACAAAAACTTCTATCTACAGTTATCTTTTGAACAACATCAACACATTAGAGGAAATTTCCTCAGGAAATCCAAGGCAAAGAATATGAAAAAGTAATGTCTTAATTATTTGGAAGACATTTTTGTTTTCATAAAGTATATTTGAAGAGACTACAGGGGCTGAGAGTTATGGTACACACATTACTCAGAACTCAGGGACAAGTGGAACTCTGTGAGTTCAATGTCAGCCTTTTCTACATAGTGAGTGTCAGGTCATCCGGGGCTACATAGAGATCCTTCCTCAAGAAAGGCAGACAGACAAAAAGAAAGAAAGAGAGAGAAAGAAAGAAAGGAAGGAAGGAAGAAAGAAAGAAAGAAAGAAAGAAAGAAAGAAAGAAAGAAAGAAAGAAGAGGAGGAAGAGGAAAGGAGAGAAAGAGGAGGGGGAAAGAAAAATGCTGCAGGACAGACTAGAAACATTATAATCTATTACAGAGCACATAAAGATATTATATTCTATTAGATGCACTATACATAACTTGTGACCTTGAACTCACAATCCTTCTGACTCAGCCTCCTAAATACTAGATTGACAAAACAGCCTACAATGACCAACTACATTCTAATACTCTTCTGAGATGTTTACCAAGGATCATAAACTGCATATGAAAGTTGGTTATGAACAATACTAACAAGCATGATTTGATATAATTAACTCTTTGATTGATTTTTCATATCAATTTTAGGAAAGCAAAGTCATAGGAAAATCATAGAGTTGTATTTCAAAAAAGGGAAAAAAAGAAATTCCACATCTTTAGATGAATATTAATAGACAGGGCTAGTTGGACCTGCTGTCATGTATTGAAGGTAGGGCTGTAGCTAAGAATGTTCACAAGAGTTTATTACCTACACTAGGTACATGGTCCATGGTCCTTGCTGTCATTGGAGATTTGTACCTCCTGAAAAAATACTATTGTTAAGTCCTGAAAAAATACAATTGCCAAGTCCTAGTTACATCACCTTTAAGCACCTAGCATCACTTAGACACAATTTACAGAGCAATGAAAGTCGGGCAGTGGATGACGTCAAGCATCTCTCCCAATCCTAGTATTCAGTGACACTGTCCAGGCGCCTTATTCTGAATTAGCTACCCTATATAGTCCTTGGAGTCAACCGACCAGAAACCTACACAAACTGGGTCCAAGCTCAAAAAGTATTTAATGCCTGAAAAGCAACACAAGAAATGATTTGGCAGCGAAGATCAAAATCTCTTCCTTTTTTCCTATTCTCCAAGTGTCTTCAAATGGGTCTTTGACATCCATCTGTAAAGGATAATTTCCTAGCAAATTTCTATCATAAATTATAAAAGACATTTCTTTACATAATGAAAATCATTTTTAATGTAAGTAATTTTCCTGGATCACATATGTTAAAGGAAGGAATACTTTAAATAGCTATTACTGTCAAGCACAAAGAAGCAGGCTCATGATTTGATGTGGTTAACATTAAAACAAAGAGGGTGGAAACTAAAGAGGAGATTTCCATGCTAGTTCTTGTGTTAATATAATACTGAAATCACACAGCACTATATGCTTTGGCGCATATTTGCCAAAGAGATAAAGCCCATTCTATTTGTGGCTCCAGTGTGATCTACCAATCACACCCCATGGAAGCATCTCAAGATTTTTTTTTTTTTGGAAGCATACTCGTGGCCTGATTTTGACTGTGGCTTTGAAAGGTCAAATGAAATTTAACGTTTCTAGTCTGGAGTCTCTCAAACTTTCTAGGCATTTATTTATAAATAACAAGTCACGATTCTTCATTTTTTTCTAGGGAGAGAAAAAAATCTTCTTCCAACATGTCTGGAATGATTTAACAAATGAAAGTGAATGCAACGAAAGGTGTCATGTTCCTGTGTTTCAGCCGTAAGTCATATTGGGAGGGGCAATGCAGTCACATACCATCATACACATCATCTCATCCAAAGGCTGAAGATATCGGGGCCAGAAGTACTGTCTTGTAACAAGGTGGGTGGGCCATGCCTGTGTGTGATAAAAATGCTGAGCCTATGGGAATAACTGATATAGAGAGCCATGAGTACTCAAAGCACCACATCACAAGGAACTGTACAAAGTAATTAGAATAAAAGATCAATTCTCGATGCAAAGTTTAGGAGAGATTAAAAAGGGAAAGAAGGAAGAAAAGGGAAACCTATCTTCTTCGTCGTCAACAGTGGGCCATCCTCTACATGAAGTTGTCAGTCCTGGGCCTAGAAAGAGACAGGCAAAAGTGTCTTTGGGAGGTGGGACACTCCTCAGGAACTGGCACCAGTAACTCAGCCAGCACTAGCTCAGAAATTGGCTCAGCCTCCCGTGTGTGTGCAGTGTTCTCGGTCAGGCCGGACACAGGCTGCAAGGGCAGAGAGAAAACCTGTTGGAGTGAGCAACGAGTCACCTTTTCCCCAATTTTCCATCTTCCTAATTTGAAAAGCCACTGCCAATGCCTCTGCCTGATCCGAAGGCACTTCCAGGTCTGAGACCGAGGCACCTTCTTTCTCTTCTAAACTTAGTTTCTTTCCCTTTGCTGTGATAAAATACTACGATGAAAGCCACTTAAGAGGGAACGGTTTAGTTCGGCTCACAGTTCAAGGTTACAATTTGCCATTGCCAGGGAAGTCACAGCAGCAAGGCTTGAGGTGGTTAATCACATGGCATCTACAGGAAAGAGAAATGGATGGATAAACATTTGCCTGCTAAGCTCACTCAGTTTCTCCATCTTGCCCAGTCAGACATCTCTGCTCAGAGAATGGTCCCACCCCCAGGAAGAAATCTTCCCACAGCAGATTAGACCAAATCAAGATAATCCCTGCAGTACACCCAGAGGCCCATCTCCAAGGTGAGTCTGTATTTTATCTAGTTGAAAGTCACCATTAACTGCACCACCCATGAGCATGAACACACCAATACCTATTCTCCCTTTCTATTCTCAACTCAGCCTGTTCCATCAGAATTTCTTTTAGACAGAAGGATCCTGTGTTTATTCGCAAAATTAAAAAGAAAGTCTTCCCAGGCCACTCTTTCAACCATTCTTCCTCTCTCCAGCCTCTAGCCCAGCCACACACCACAGCCTGCTTTGTCAATCACTCCTTGGAGAGCATCTCTACCTGCTTAGGTGTCTGCTGTCTAGGATAATGTGAGAAGTGTGTGGCCTTCCATGACTGAAGAAATTGCCTGATAAATTCCTCCAATTGAATAGTATGTCAACGTCATTTAGACTGTTCCTCACCCAGGATAAAACAATGCAACAAAGCACACATTTAAATCTGTCATCCCTAACTCCATGCCCAAACTCTCAATGTGCTGGGATATTTCAGTAAAGAAAGCTATGTGAGGCATTGTAATCAGACTTGAAATCTCACTCTTGGTCTCTCCCAACTGCCATCAAAAATACATTTCCAAACATTGGAGATGATAGTGTACATCTGTACAGTTGGAGACATTTAGTTCCCTGGAGCTCATTGGCCAGCCAGTCTAGCAAAATTGATGAGTTCCAGGTTCAGTGAGAGATATTGTCTTAAAGAAAAAGGTTGTGTGGTGGGTGGGGAGGATAAAAGATGTATCCGTGGATCAAAGCACTTATTGCCAAGTCTGATGACCTGAGTTGGATCCCTGGGACCCACATGGTGGAAGCAGATAGCAATCCTGAAATCTGTCCTCTGACCTTCCCATGAAAATAAAGAGAGAGAGATGGAAGGAGACCTAAATGCATGAATCTAAAAACAAGGAGTGGAGAGTTTAAGGAAGACACTTGACATTGACTTTGGGCCTCTCCATCCACACATCACACAGTGCTTGCACACCTGTGAAACTCCTGCATGCACATTTCTTGCTCTGTCCATTATTGCTGCCTTGTCACAAAAATATGCCTACTTCCCTTAGTATTTCCTCCCTTTCCCTAAGAAAAACTACATCACTGAACCTATCAGGGGTTTTACCAAAGGGGGGGGGGGAATGGAAGAGAATAGATGGAAACATGGCTACCTGTTTCCTCCCCTCCCCTCACCACAGTTATCTGAGTGTTGAATTTTAGTGTTCCTTCCCTGTAAAGGAACAGGTGGATTTTGTCAAGTGAAGCTGTTCTTTATTTTGTTGGTTCAAAACTGGAATAAGTCCATGAGAAGAGATGAAAAATTCTAGGATGTGTTGCTTTTTCTCCCCCAACATGTATAACCATGAGACATCTTCTCTTGGTTGCTTGGACGTTGCAGTCTGATTTGTATAAGTTAGACTTAAACAAGAAAGAAAATACAAAAATAAAAATTTATTTTCTGATCCTTACCTCCAAGTCAGATATCTTCTGCAACCGGAGATTCCAAAATGTGGAACTTACTGAAAAGTATTTTCAGAACTTCAATTACCTTATGCAGAATCCTTTTTAAAAGATGGTATATGTGTGCGTGTGTGTGTGTGTGTGTGTGTGTGTGTGTGTGTGTGTGTGTGTATGATATTTATCCACATGTACTTGCCATAGAACCCACCGAGAAGTATGAGAAAATCTTTTGGGACTCAGTTATCTCCTTCTACCATATGGGTCCTAGGAATGAAACTCAGGACCTCAGGCTAAGCAGCAAAACCCTTCACCTAATGAACCATCTCACCATTCCTGCCAGGTTCTTTACAGCACTCTCCCTTGGTAGCTGAGGTTAGGGTAGGATGAAATGTGTATGTGGAAAGATATTGCTAAAAGCAAACAAACAGCCAATCCCTACCCACCCACTACTACTGCCCCATCCCTTTCAATTAACATTGAAATTTGAAATTGATAACCTGTTATCACACACAACTGTCCCATCTACCTAGTGAATGACTATAGCTGACAAGGACGTGCGTGACCTGCTTACTCTTCCCCAAGATTCTAAGGAACCCTTTGGACATTGCCGCTATACAGCTGAGGAAACTGAGGCCCCAAAAGGAAGACTTCTTCAGTAAGGGTAATGTTGCATGAGTGAAGCAAATTCTCTCTTGACGCTTTATTGAAAAATTCTTTTAAGTCTGCGTGGACTTACACCTCTGAAGACACTAGAATTTTCCAAACCGAGAAGCACATACCTGCTTCTTCCTTGAGTTTGCTCTGGGAAACAGGCCTGCCGACAGCACAGAGGTAATCGGAGAACAGCAGAGCTCAGGAAAGGGGTTGGGAATAGATGGCATTTCCAGAACATCCAGATCGTTCTTTTTTCTCCTATAGCAAGAGAACATAGGACGTCATTTACATAAAACCGAATGTAAAATATAATTGCTGTCAGGGGAAAGAGCGTTTGTTAAGGCTAATGGGCCAGGCTCTGTGACAATGCTAACACTACACAAGTTATAGGAAAGCGCTATCTCTCTGTGGAGCAAAAGAAAATATACCGACTAGCACAAATAATTCTGTAGCACCCCCCACCTGGCCAAAAAAAAAAAAAAACCCTCACTAGGCATGATCACTCCATTTCCTGCACTCAGGATTTTCCTGAACACCAATACAGGCCACGTCATGATTTATGCAAACATTACCCCGAGGGATGAGCCATTGCCTGGCGCCTATTAAATTGACAAAATCTGTAAGTTACATCCAATGAACTCATCCCCAGGAATTTTTACTCATCACTGCTGGAAGTTATGATTTATTAAATATAGATGCGGTTCATCTCGCTTCAAATTTCATTCACAATGTTGCCCACACACAGTCTGTTCGTTTTTCAAGTGCTTATAGATACTGAACATCAAGGCAGTCCTTCTGGGAAGGTAAGTCGATAAAACGTGTTAGCATGAATGTCCGCTAGTCCGCTGGTGAGTTATTTTAACTTGGCTGAAGCCAGAGCACTTTGCAATCCTGACAAAGAAGAAAGAGTGGTATTTGCATGTATGCCCGCAAAGGGCCACAGATATATATACTGTTGTCGCCTTTTTTCTTTCCTAAAGTATGACAACTCCGAAGGCACTTGGTGCTGGTTTCTGTGGAGATGGGAAACCTTTGAAAGCCTCTGCTCTTTCCTGTGGAACATAAAGACTGCTCAAATGTCAATCTTGCTTTGCGTCTCCGGGGTCCCTGGAAGGCTCTACGTGGGAGGTGAACGCTTTCACGCTTCGATTTTTTGAAGCCTATAGTGTAGTATAAAAAGGGTCACCCAGGAGCTGAGTGTGGTCAGTCTGGAGTGTGGCCTCGTGGTTCCCACTAAAGGGCAGAGGTGAGACAGACAGACGGCTCTCCACCGACCCGCGATGCTATTTATAACAGGGCACCTGGAGATCATGAGACCCCGCTGACCCCACCGGGGCTGGCTCCATGGGAATTGTCTTCAGACACTTTCAAAACTTGGTCGGGTTCTGGGCACACACTCACCCCTGGGCCGCCTCCTCACCCCAGTAGACTGCGAACCCGGACGCCTCTCCCCCTCCCCCCCGCCCCGAACTGCCTACCTGTCTGCGGCACCGCAGCGGGTCGCGTCGGAGGCGGGCGACAGCGCGTGCAGTCCGGGGACCCGCGCCGGGTCCTGGGCGTCGCCCCTGCCCTGG